CCGCCAGCGCGGCGGCCTGCGGCTCCGCAGCGAGCGAAGGGACAAAGTTCCCCCGTGAATCCCTCCCGTGGGGCTTCCCAGAGGAGACGCCGCGTTCGCGGAGCCCCAGAGGCACGTGGCAGGGATTCACCGCTGCCCAAGCGGTTTGTGACTCAAGCAGCTGGGTGGCTGCTCCGTGCTTGACTCCCCTTTGGAAAGACCCAAAACTGATGGGAATCGCACGGGAATCTCCACTGTAGGAAGCGCGGTCCTCACCCCGCTCATCTCCGCGCTTCTCCCTGCTCAGGCTGGTGGGAAACAGCCATCACCAGGAGCAGGGAACGCGCCGCCCCGGCCACGGAGCCGGCTCCGAGCAAGCCCCTTCCCCGCGCGCGCCCTCACTTGCTGGCGAAGAAGGCGACCCAGGGGAAGCGGAGGTCGTGCGTGTCCACGAAAACGTTCTGCACGAAGAGGTTGGGGCTGCAGCTGTGCTGTAACGGGAGCGGAGACACACAGTGAGCGAGTTCCTGCGTCGGGAGGGACCGACAGCAAACACCAGCCTTTCCAAACACGCAGCATTCCTGATTTGTCCGCTGCATCCAGCTGGAACGGGACACACTCCCTCCCCTGCCTGCACGGGATGAGTCACAAGACCCGCGCTCGCAAAGGTAACGGTCGCTGGAAGGACTGACTCAAGCCATCCCGCTTGCCACGCGTCACGGGGCCGGAGCAGCTGCCCTGTTTCACTCGGGTGGGGTGGATCATCCTCCCAGTCCTGCTCTTTTCCCACTTTTTTTACTGTATTTCTCTAGTCTTGGGGAGGAACAGGCCCGCTGAAAGCACCGGTCACTCCAAAGAGGTCCCTTTCCCCTCTCAGCTGCCAAGGGATGTTGCCCCCGGGCCCTGGCCAGGGCAGCGACTCACGTTGAGGTACCGGCCCAGGTTCCCTTCCAGCTTGGCGTCGATGATGTAACAGGACTCCTCTCCGTCGTAGAACTGGCGCGTGGTTCTGTGGACGGGCGCGCTCTCGCCCTTGTCGGCCGCTGCCATGTTGGTGGACTTGATGGCGATGCCGTGGGTGGATTTCAGGGCAAAGCCGCGGGTGGATTTCACCGCCACCTGCCTCTTGACGGGACCTACCACGGGAGAAGAGCAAACCCTGCCACGTTCTCCCTCCGTCGGCCGGGAGAGGAGCCCCCCAGCAGTGCTCCCGGCCCCACAAACCCCACAGGGATGCAGCTCAGATCTAAATTCCCACCCTGGGATGGCTCCGACCCAGCGGAGCCTGGAAACCCGTTACTTTTTCTTAGATATCCACAAACCTCTACGACTTGCGGACGGGGTTTTGCAGTTACGTCGCAAACCACACGACGGGAAGCCTCAGACCTCGGCAGTGGGACAAAGCTCCGAGGAGGCTGGAGCAGGATGCTCCACGCTCGCAGCTGCTACGTCCCCATCAGCCCTTCCTGGGGGTTTCTGGCTCAAATTTCTCGCTGCACCTCCGTACTTTCCTCCCCCAGCAGCCTGTCCTCACCTGACCCAGACGAGGGGTTTTTCTTGTCATCCCCCTCCTCCTCCTCGGAGCCCGAGGAGATGGTCTGGATGTCGTCGCTGTCGTTGGCGGGGC